AGTGCTTTTTATATGTATTATCTCATTTGATTCTATGCTCATAACAACTGTAACAGGTAAGTATTGCTATTGCTTCCATGGGGTTCATTCCTGTTATAAGTTCTTTTCTTTTTAACTCTATTTTTAAACTAAGTGCCTGTAGGACAGCATATTGTTCCCTTACAAAGGAAGTTAAAGGAATCAAAAAGCAATAAATTGAAAAGGAAGCTGAGGTGCAGAGAGCCTGACTCCTAAGCCTGTGCTCTTGGCCACTATATGTTCTCAATCCTCTCTTCCCTCTCCTCTCTTCCATCCACCCATCCATCATCTTTCTGACTATTTATATCCACTTATAGACATAATTCCTCTTTAGCTGGGAGGTTGGATTAGATAGCCTAAAAGTTTCCTTCCAGCTCTTAGCTTCTATGAGGTGTATTTTAGCTTACACTACCTTGTGATTATTTTTGGCAGCGTGTTGGTCTTCCTAATTAAGTTGCTTGGATGTATTGAAACATACACTTCAAGGCTGGCATGGATCAGTCCAGTCCAACCCCCCATTTTATGAATGAGATGAAGTGACTTACTAAAGCTCACCTGGTCCAGAGCTTTTTAAAAAGAATCCGTTTCAGATTATTTTGAACTCTGGGTACATGGCAAGTGGTGAATAAAGACAATGCTCCAGATAGGCAATGAGCAAGAGGGAATGATGGGTGGGATTTAGAACATCATCTGTTTTTACCTCACTTGTATGCTGAGTCAGTGATGGTGATGATGGTGGTGGTGGGGATGATGATGTTGGTGATGACTCCTGCAGTTCATAAGGCCCTCATATCAGAAGAATTTGGAGAGTTCGCCCAATATATCTTCTTGCCTCCTGCTAGCGAATGCCTGACTCATTACTGAAAGATGCCTACCTTATTTTAGAAAATGCCCCAGGAATCTTGAAACCTCTGTCTCTTCCTGATTTTTAGCCAGAGTTCCCTCCTGTTATGTTTATTCTTTCCCTCCATTTGAAAAATAAATAACTATAGAGCAGCATATAGTTCCCTGAACCACAGCAAAAATAAGTTAAAGGAAACAAACAGAAGTAAACTATATGGTCATGGACAAGAAGAGATTGATGATAAATGGCAATCTGGGTTTGGGGATAGAGAAGCTGGAAATAGCTGGTTCAGTCTTCACGGAGACAGAAACACCATATTCACTCTGATCCCTTTGTTTTCAAGTTCCGGGACTCACGGCTTGGGTGAAGTTGAGTCACTTGGAGAGCATGCCAAAGCCTACTTGTTAATTTGGACTTTTTTTTTTTTCTTTTTAACATGAGGATGCTCTTTATTTTGTTTTGCGGTACGTGGGCCTGTCACTGTTGTGGCCTCTCCCGTTGCGGAGCACAGGCTCCGGACGCGCAGGCTCAGCTGCCATGGCTCACGGGCCCAGCCACTCCGCGGCATGTGGGATCTTCCCAGACCGGGGCACGAACCCGCGTCCCCTGCATCGGCAGGCGGACTCTCAACCACTGCGCCACCAGGGAAGCCCGTTAATTTGGACTTTTATCTGCAGCAAGCTCTCTCCGATTTCTTCAGAGCTGAACTGGGTGAGCTCTTGGCTGCCAACCCTGTCTACATTTGCCCCCTTTGAGAAGGAAGGAATAAGACCCAGAAGGAATAATTGTCATTTATCGACTATCTATGCTATGTCAAGCACTAAGCTTTAGATTTTTTTTAATATCACTTGTTCATCTTAATAATCTTGAAAGCCTGGTATTATTATACCCATTTTACAGATGAGAACTCTGAGGTTCAAAAGTTAAAGTGTCATCCCCATGGTTCCCTGATTGGTAAGTGATGGAGGTAACCTGAGCCCAGATCTATAGGCTCCATAGTCACTCACATGAAGAAAAGAGCATGGGAGCACTGTATCTGCCTTCCTTCTTAGATTCTGATTGCGGTAGACGTGCTTTCTCCTGCCCATGCCCCTGGCTCTCCTCCTCCTCTAGTTTATGAACCTACAGCTTCATATTCTGACAGTATGATCCTTTTCTTCCTACAAAATGATCATGGATCGAGGATGAAGTGGTTCATCTCACATATTTACACATATTCAAATTCTTCACCTCCAGCTCTAACTCATAACATCAAGTAGCGCCTGCTCTCCAGTCTTTCACTTGCTCTTCTTGCATGCAATAAACACTAACTTTTGCATACCTACGTACCCCCAGGGTGGCATCTGTCAGACCACACTTCCCACTATGGAGGGGCCCACCTAAGAGGTGACTGGGTCCATCCCTTGACCTCTGTATAGGATAGTGCGTGGGCCTGGAGAACTCTCAGGGTGGCATATGAGTGGTGATTCAGAGGAGTGGCTGCCAACGCACCTGAGGGCACAGACTCCACCGGGTTAGGCTGAGGAGGGGCCAGCTCCTGTATTTGGCAGATGGTTTGTTTCTGGCAGCAGCAAAGACTACAGCAGGCAGGGGATAGTGGAGAAATAAGGCCATGTGAAAGTAGAGTTGTCACTGTGGTTTTTAAAATCATATTTCTGCCTAAAATCCTTCAAAGGGGATAAGAACAACCCTGACCCCACTCTCACCTCTCCCCCAATCAGTTCTAGCTGAATGAAGAGCAGTCCTACCTGGGACAGGAAGATGGATACAACTCAGGACAGTGGATGTCCTCACTACCTCCCCTTGATGCTCTTCAAAATGAGGACAACCAGGTTTGGATTTATTATCCTATTCTTGAATCCCAAAGACCATCCTTAGAGCAAAACATGCTCTTTGAAGGCCAAGGACATGGGGAAGCATGGTATCTTTAAATAACAAGGGGATGGAGTATCTCAAATTGGGTGACTTGGGAAACCAGGCAGGATGAGAATACAGAGCAGGAGGGCAGGCTGTGTTTAACTCTGCTTTGTCTGGGAGAGAAATTGCCTTCACCAGGGAGTGGGATTTAACAGGATGTGGCCCTGACCAACCTGTGTTAGTGAGGCTTGTGTTAATGCCAAGGCCCCAGATTCCTACCAAGTCTTACTTTATAGCTGGCCCCAAGTTTCCCTATTTATCAGGGAAACTAATAAATAATAAAGTGAGCATTCTTCACGTTGTGTCTTGGGAATGAGTTCAACCGAATACAGCATGTCTGACCAGTATTGCAGGAGGGGGGTCTTCTCTCTCTGGGGGGTGTCTGTGATAAGATGTGGCTCAGACAGTCACGGGTGACCCTATTGGCCGTGACAGGCCAGGTCCTCACCCAGGGCCAGGAGTAAGGCACCAGCTTTTGGGTGTGTGTGTGTGAGAGTGTACATAGAAACTGTCACAACCACATCCCACATGCCATAGCAGGGTGCAGCCATTTGTTGTCCTTACCTTAACCTCCTCACCAGTTGCAGAGATACTGAGCCTTGATGTGCTGGGTCCCTAAGGACACAGCCCAGAAACGCTCAGCAGACCTAACGGGTACTTTTTCAACCCGGTTCCCTTTATCTGCCCCTCACATCTGGGGACCTTGGACTCCAACCAGGTCACATCTCTGAATAACATTAATTTCTTAAGGAGAAGCAGGGGTCATGCCCAGCCATGTCTGATCTCCAAGCTTGTATTCACAAGCCCACACCACCTACCCACAGTACGCTCTTC